GTGTGTGTGTGTGTGTGTGTGTGTGTGTGTGTGTGTGTGTTTTGTTTTGTATGAATGAAAGTAGTGTGCTGATATAACATTAAATATGATAATGTTTTGCAGTGACAATGACAAAAACCCATGGCATCAAGTAGATTTCCAGACAGCACAGAACTTGTCAGGTATCTTGACTCAAGGAAGTCCATCTTCAGAGAAGTGGGTGTACACCTTCACAGTGAGCACCAGCAATGATGGAATCAACTTTGAAACCATCAAGGATGATCAAGGGCAGGAGGTTACCTATTATGGCAACGCTGACAGGAATACTGTGGCCAGAAACTACTTCCCCAGAGTAAGTGTTGCTAAGTTGTGGAGAAAGTGAGAGGGTTGAGAATATTTTGTGTCCAGTAGTTTTTTATGTTTGTATTTGTTTTCAGAAAGACTATTTAGTTATTGTCGATGCTGTGCTGGAACCTTGTTTACTTGCATTTCAAAATTTTACAGGTGAAACAAAAAAACTGTTTAACGTTGTTAATGTTAACACTTAAAAATTTTGTCAATGTATTGTTATGGGTCTTAGACAAAATCTTGCAATGAAGTATGTGTTTTACCTGAGCACATTATTACACAATCTGATTTAGCAACAAAAATTTTTTGTGTAGGGAGCTTCTCTGTTTTAAGCCCTGCCCCTTTGAAGCTTGTAAGATGTTAATGAGGTTAGAACAGATCAGACATAGCTTTTTCCCTGGACTAACCTGGCTACCTTTGGGTTGTCTTTAAATGCACACGTTTAACACGCTCTGGGTCATTTTATGATGTCCTGATGGCCTGCTAGTGAGGTATTATTTGTTTAGCGTGAGTGAAAATTTCTTTGTCCCTCTACATATCAAGTGAAATCGATTTTAAAAAGTGACCTTGTCTAAGAAAATAGGAAGTTTCACTGACCCGCCTCTGATGAAGCCTCACTATATTGGGTTAAAGAGGTTTAACGGAGCACTTGTTGCTTTGTGCAGGATGGCGAGGTTCATGCAAAACTTAAAAGTGCGTTTTTGAGCATTTGTATTTTGAATCTGAAATTAATATTTATACACATTGTGTATCAAGGTATCAGAAATATTTTGGTGAAAAAAACAAACAATTTTCGCCAAAAAGCTCCCAACATTTAGAAGGAAGTATATCCTGAGATTTCTCTTAAAGTGCTGCAGAATGTATGTGACCAACTCCATTGACACTACGCTACAAGAAAAGCTTAATGGGCCAACAGAAGAACTAAGCAGAATGGCATCGTGTATGATAGATGCCATACTTCAAGGATGATAAGATTAAGATGAAGATGTTGCAGAGGGAGGATTGACAATGTGGTATTTGACCATTGAATGAATGTGTCTGCAGGTGACTGTAGCCCGCTACGTGCGAGTGAATCCAAAGACATGGGCTGCAGGCGGACCTGCCTTGAGGGTGAATTACATCGGTTGCTTTTTCTCGGACTTCTCCACACCGAGGCCGACAGTGCCATTTGTTCAACCACCAACTGGTCCCACAGGCATCCCAACAGTGTCACCAACCTGGCCGTCCTCCTGGTCATCGATACCCACCTCCCCTACAGTGGCTCCCCCTACACCGTTTACACTGGTGCCTAGTAAGTGGAATGATTTCGTATTGTGATAGTGAAAATTATCTTATGTACAATGGGTTCAGTTATGCAACATCCGTGATACACTGCTGTAAGAAAATAGAGGGGCTCAGGGTATGTTGACCACAAGATAGCAAAAGCATTAAAGAAATTGCTGGTACTACATTTTGATAGGAGGGGCTCCTAGACTGAAAGTATTGTTTTCTAATGTGTGTGTGGATTGGGCATTTGTTTCATGTCTGTTGCTGCATTCTGAGAAACATGAGCTGATATATAAACTGCAAAAGTAAGTGCTGTTTGTCAGTGTGAACGAAAGTGAGTGAAAATGGCTGAAGAGAATCTAAGAAATCACGGTGAAGTAACAGCATGTGTCCTTTTCCAGATGTTATTTGCAACGTGCCCATGAACGTGGATGTGGTTAGCTTGATGCCAAATAGGCTGCTGACAGCATCTAGCGATCAAGGCACAGGAACTCTGCCCAGTGATGGACGTATGCAAAATCCAGTCTACTCTTGGCAACCAGAGTGAGTCTCTTTTCTTCAGTACTAGTTGTTTCCATCTCATTAGTTGCCTTTGTATGAGAAAGAAGTAAGTAGAATAATGAAAAAGTATGCAGTCTTTAAGTTTAATTTGTAAATTTCTAAAGCTTTGTTTGAAGGCTACATTTCAGGAACAACCAGTCAATATGTTTGTTATGAAAACTTTTCTTTGTTTATGTGTGTGTGTGTGTGTGTGTGTGTGTGTGTGTGTGTGTGTGTGTGTGTGTGTGTGTGTCTGTGTGTGTGTGTGTCTGTGTGCCTGTGTGTCACCAAGGCAAAAATTATAGGTGATCATTTTGTTGATTAAAGTTGGCAATACTGGATCATGCATCACAACGTTTATATAAATAACAATGCAATTTATTCTTGCTCTCTACGAAAGTATAAAGTTATCGGAAAATTTGTAAAATCATGAATGAAAACGAAGTAAATCATAATAAAATCATATCAAAACAAAGCACAAAAAATCACAGTTTTAAATCAAATAATGATCACGATTACATCTGACTTTTAAATGCCTTTATGAATAGCTCTTATTGATTGGATTAATATGAATGAATATGACTGTGGACAATAGGGCACGATAGAAAACAGTAAATAATATGACCAATTAGAAAAGCCATTAATCATTAATGAGATTCGAACAGAGTGGTTTACAGGCAGTGTAGTGATAGAATAAAAACAAATCATGGTAAATGAAAACAAATTTTTAACTTGTATGAAAAAGAAAAAATGAGGAGTGAAAACAACTTTTGAACTTAAATGGAAAAAAAGAATGAATAATTAAAAACTGCTGTCAAGCAGTTGACCAGTATTAGGTTATGACTATGATAGGTGAAAACAAGTTTTGAAAATAAATGTTTTAAAGTATGTTATAAAAAAGACCTAAACAATCAGCATATGACTAGATCAGAATATTGAAAATATATTGGCACCCACAATATAGAAAAAGACTGGCTTACTGTTAGTTCCTTATGTTCAGACTCTGCTGAGGTTTGGTTATCATTGATGTGAGTGTGTTTGCCATGGCCATGGCAAAATGGAGACAATGGTCAAGCTGAGCAGTGTCTGACTGAAGCTTTGATGAGATTTCAGACAAGTCTGACAGGGTGTTTTCATAGAAAATAAAAATCAATAATTCCCCCCATTCAGGAGTCCCATACTTCGCGGCATTCAGATTTTGAATGAACTTTGGTGACCCCTAAAACCAGTGCTCACACGTGCCGTATCTTGCGATTAAGTTGTGATGTGAACGCACAGGTTCACTGACCGGTCACGGTGGCGAACCCGACAAGATGGTTGTTTAACTTTCTTTTCTTTTTTTCCCCTCAAGTGACAGCACAGGATATATATTGATTTGTTTTCATGGTGTCAGATTTTTTTAAAACAAAAAAGGGCACTGCAAAAATTGCCGCAGTTGACCCTTTGATTTTAAGGGCATTACGGCAGATTGCAAAGACACCAAGGCAAATTGCCGCCGTGCTGCGGTCTGTTTCAAGACCTGTGTGTGTGTGAGTGAGTGTGTGTGTGTGTGTATTTTGTATTGATGAAAGTGGTGTGCTAATACAGCAATGATTATGGAAATCTTTTGCAGTGACAACGACAAAGACCCATGGCATCAAGTAGATTTCCAGACAGCACAGAACTTGTCAGGTATCTTGACTCAAGGAAGCCCGTCTTCAGAGAAGTGGGTGTACACCTTCATAGTGAGCACCAGCAATGATGGAATCAACTTTGAAACCATCAAGGATGATCAAGGGCAGGAGGTTACCTATTATGGCAACACTGACAGGAATACCGTGGCCAGAAACTACTTCCCCAGAGTGAGTGTTGCTAAGTTTTTGTAGAAATTGAGAGTTTTGAGAATATTGTGGGTCTAGAGGTGTCTATGTTTGTATTTGTTACTGATGAAGTGGAGTCATGCTGAGTTTTTCAGGAGTTGTAAAAGTTTGATTAGATGTAAAAAGTAGGTGTGGAAATACAGATATGAAAGGTGAAGCTTTTGACTATCAGAAGGAAGTATGCGTTATGATTTTTTGTAGGTCATGCGGAAAATGCACTGAAAATGTGATATTTGACTATTGAATGAAAATGTCTGCAGGTGACTGTAGCCCGCTACGTGCGAGTGAATCCAAAGACGTGGGCTGCTGGCGGACCTGCCTTGAGGGTGAATTACATCGGTTGCTTTTTCTCGGACTTCTCCACACCGAGGCCGACAGTTCCATTTGTTCAACCACCAACTGGTCCCACAGGCATCCCAACGGTGTCGTCAACCTGGCCGTCCTCTTGGTCATCAGTACCTTCAGTTGTGTGTGTGTCGAGGTGGTCCTCTTGGATAAATAACGTCTCCCCCATTGGCAGCTCTGGTGATTTTGAGAAGATGTCTAAAGATGAGTTGACGAGATTCTGCCCAGGTGGAAACATCACAGACATTCAGTGTGTTGATTCTGATACAAATGATGACTCTGTCTCTTTGGCAGAGGCGACTTGCACAGTGGAAAGGGGACTGCGTTGCATTAATAACCCCATTACTGGTGTTCCATGTAGAGACTACAAGATCCGATATCTTTGCAACTGTTCAGGTACATCGTTTTTATATTTGTAAACAAGTAGTTTGTGTGGTGTCATGGGAAGACCTGCTTTTTTCTTTTCGAATTGAGATTTTAGTGAAACCAGAAAAATCACTTATTTTTATAAATTTTGATATGCGTTTTATTTCATAGAACATAATTTTTACATTGATATTTCATCATTTTGTTATGGAACGTTGCAACTGAAAAATGATTTTACATTCTAGTGGCTGAATAAAAAAAATTTGCCTTTGTCTTCCATAATTGATGCTTTTTGTAACCTAGTACACCAAGCAGTTGTCCACAGCAAACAGGGAAGTGTCGTACATCACTAGAAAGGCCATCTTATACCCTTGATTGATAACCAGCAGTCCTGGAAGATATTTTCACTAAAAAAATTACAGCGCAATAGTAGGCCTATTTATGATTATAGATGTGTCAAAGTCTTCAATAGCAACAGATAATTCAAAACGGTGCCAATATTTTACCCAAAATAACATTTGTGTTGCGTTTTATCTGTTTGAAAAGCAAAATTTCTACGGTTACTTTATATTTTTTTGTTCTGAATGTAAACTAGTGGAATCAATTATAAAGTGTAAAGAAGTCATGTGGACTTTTTTGTCACTTTCACTTGCTCCCCACCAGGGCAGTGCTACTGATTGAAGTTGTCTTTAGGCCTTTCCCAAAGAGGGGATATTAGCATGTTCTCATGCACAATAGAATTGTAAATAGGCTGATTTACCAATATCATGCTCATACTGTGCCGGAACGACATGTGGAAACTGCTGCTTTTTCTTTTCTCATCTTTACTATCGTCATTTGCCTTTACTTCTTTTGTATGTTTGTCACTCTCCATTGAACTGCTGTTTCTGGGATACCTTGATAGTTGAAGCAGACTTTGTGCTTTTGAGGCTAGAGAGGTGAATAGAGTAAGCCTGGTTCCTCATTTGGACTTTTCTGTTTACGTCCACCCCTTGGCGCTCATAACAGTATGATGTAGCGAGCACTGTAAAATCTTGCTAAGACAAACATGTCCTGTTACTTTTTTCCCAGTTTAACACCCAGTTATATTGAAGATATTGAAACAAAGTTAGTTGTTGCTTTGGACCAATCAAGATATTGACCACAAAAAGGTGCAAAATTCTTTTCCTCCAATTTCTTTTTTAGGAGGAGATGTGGCCACATGTTTGAATGAAATAAAAATTGTCTTATTTGGGAGAATTGCTGCTTGATAGCTGGCTCAGTTGAGAAAAGTTTTTGTCAGGCGCATTCTATTTTCACTTCCTATTAATCTACTTTCTATCTTTCACTAGACTACAAAAAGTTTTCATTGTTATGTTTTTAAGTTCACATGATTCAAATCAGCGAGTCAAATTTTCCCCGTTGTATCCCTTGAATGCTTGCTGTGAGCAGATAATGGTTTATTGTCCGATTGCTTTGACACTGCAGTGTACTGTGCTACACTAAAAGGGAGCTAATCGCTTTAATAAAACAAAACAAATTTCAATGACGACTTTTGCAACTTGCAAGGAAAAAGTTGTCGTTCATAATGACTTACAACCTTGGAGGATAGAGGTGCCATTTAGAATTACTCCTGTGACATTAGTCTCATCAGCTGGCTTACTTTTATAAATGAGTAATTTTCGTCTGTTCGAGGTAACAAAAATAAAGTTCACTAATAATAATTTGCCAATGCACACATAATGTTGCATGGCACACCAGTAGGCCAGCAACTAAACAAAAATATTTTAAAAAGAAATCTTGATCCAGTATTTATAAAGCTTCTTTCTTTGGGCCCTGTATAAACACCACCCTTTGGGTGCATACAAAGGATCACTGCAATATATGATTTACTGTGACCTAACTTACCATTAATGCTCATTTGGGGTCAGCGACAGCCCCCACATTTCATAGATTTTTCCTCCAAAGACCGTTGTTCAGACATCTCGAAAGGTACACGCAGGTCTGTTGGACCATTTTTCATAGGTGTAGTATAGATGAAAATAGGTTAATTTTGTATTGTTTTGGATGCATGCTGTAAATCACCTATTTTTAAAAACTCACTTTAAGCTAACATTGAAGAAAGTGTGTTGGAATCATATTTTGCAATAGCCCTCTTTAGACAGGCTTTTTAGATGTACAAACAAAAAGAACTGAACAAGAGTTTTCTTAAAATCTTGTTCAATTGATTTGCCTTATACACAAACATCTGCTTAGGAGCATTTACCTCTATATTTCTGGACATAAATAAATGCCTTATATCACAATTAAAGTTGTACTTTATTTATAATTCATTCAACTGTATACAATGATGTTTGTGACCTTAGATTTATATCAGTTAATATATTTTCAGATGCGTTCACACCAACACCCAGTGTTCAACAATTTGGATCTCCAACTCCCTCACCTAGTGCTGGACAGTTTGGGTCCCCAACTCCCTCACCTAGTGCTGGACAGTTTGGATCCCCAACTCCCTCACCTAGTGCTGGACAGTTTGGATCCCCAACTCCCTCTCCTAGTGCTGGACAGTTTGGATCCCCAACTCCCTCTAGCGGTGAGTATTGTATTTTGCTAAGGAAGTATTGTATATTGGGTAATGCAGTTAGATACAGTATAATCCCCTTACATTGTATTATGGACAGCCGATGTATTGACATTTTGACATATCAACATATTTTCCAATTATGAAATTTTCCTTCTTTATCTTCACTATACAATTTCTCTTATGCCAACTTTTTTTTCGGCCCACTCTGCTTTATTGACATGCCTCCTGGGTATCTGACGAAGCCCACAAACATAATAAATGGGGAGATAAAGCCACGTCAACGCAATAGTTCTTTAGTAAGTCCGCATACCTGCCAAGTTTCCTATATCGACACACCAGACTTAAGTAGGTCATGTAGGGCCTACACAGTATGTGTAGTCTCCAACACAATGCAGTGCCTCACAGACGTGAGCGTCTCGCGCGCTGGGAATCACATCCCTACCCCCACTTCCGATCGCTCACTCCCTTCCCCATCCCATTCTAAATCTGTCGCTGGCAAGTGCCACGATCAGTGCATAGTTAGTTAGTGCCTCGCATTTCCATTTTCCCCAGCAAACGGCCATAAACAGGCCTTACAAGGATGCTACAACAAAGTTTGCGCTGGTGTGTAGTGTGCGCCTCGCATTGCTCGGTCTTCGGTACCATAACTCTAACCCCCCTCCCCTCTGCTTCTTGTTAGTTTCGCTGTGTAGTTGTGTGAATCAAGGGAAGCAGCCAGCTTATTAAAAAAAGTAGTGTTGTCTTTTTACCGCTGACCTTTCCTTGTTTTTTCCTCTTTGAATTTATATTTATCGACATTTTTATATATCTTTACTTCAAATCCACTTTTCAAAGCATATCGATATAAGCGGATTATACTGTAATTTATAGATTTTGAGGTGCCTTCTTTGTGGTACATTGATGATTGTTGATGCCCTCATTATTAAAACAGTTCCATTCCTTCTAGCTCTCCTTTATTTATTGTCATTGTGTTGGGACTTTTTTTTGCATCTTAAGTGCTTTTCACAAGGACTTAACATTGGGCCCTTGACGGGATTCAAACCTCAACCTTATGGTTGATAGCCTGAGAACCTAACCTCTAGGTCACCTATGTCACATTTGATACTATGCTTGAAATGATGGATACTATACTTGAGAAGACGTGATTAGTTCATTTGACTTATTATGTATGCAGCTCTGGCAAATATTTGTTGCATGAAACCTTTTTGCCTATACAATCTTATCAGGTCAGTCTTTGACACATTTCAGGTCCTGCATGTCGGTACTGGTCTCCTTGGGTCAGCAATAGTGTTCCTGATCCTAGTGCTGGAGAGCTTGATATGTTTTTCCAGAATCCAAACGTGCCAGGGGCTTGCTCTGAGAAAGAAGTTATTGGGTATGTTAGCTCTTGTGGTAAAAGAAAGCTGAAATTTGCTTGTACCATTTACAAATATGCTTTGTGATTCATTGTTTTGACTGTATTCCTGTTCATGGATACCACAAATTGCTGTTCCCTGTCATTTGTTTTTGTCTTCTTTTTTCTTCAACTCTTCTTTTTCAAGTGTTGTGTTTGTAAACTATGTAACAATAAAAAATCTGTAGCTAATGTCATTGCGTTTGTTTTTTATTTCTTTTTGTTTTTACATAAGGAACAGAAAATATTTTTTAACATCCCTGTATATTTTGTTTTGGGCTCTATCCAAATCTAAATCTTCACATACCAACTTTCAATGTGTCTACTGTTTTATGCCAAAAAGTATGTATATTGTATTTATCTGTCATTGATACATTGTCTTCTCTTTTTTTACTTGTAGAATTGAGTGCCGAGAAAGAGTAAGCCGAAGGAGCCATGATCCCAATGATGATTTGGTAGAGTGCTCCTTGCAAGGTGCATTTGTGATGTGCACAAACATTCCTGGACACATCTGTCCTGACTATGAAGTGAGAGTTTTGTGCGATGTTTGCTTGAGCCCCTCATCATCTACATCTCTTCCTCCACCCAGTGGTAGTCCTGGTTCCACAAAACCACCGCTTCCTTGCTCAGAGGGCTGGAGTGTGCCTATTAGCAGGTTTAGTTTGAATTTCTACTATGTTCGCTTCTTGTGCTGTTTGTGCAATTTATGTTCAAATTATGAAAGTTCTCTAAATGAAAGGAAGACAAGACAAGGGGGATATAATGTTGACATTGATATTTCTTTTTGTTTTTTGTTTAGGTAATATGAACAGCATTTTGCTAACATATATTGTGTGTTACCCATTTGTTAAGACCGTAACACTTTAGTGACCAGCTGTCCTGTGGCTTACACATACACCCATCCCTCATAATGGCATGATATTAGTTCTATTGTACAGGCACCTCACAAATAACTCAAGAATGTGTTTATGTCTTTTAAGCAAAAGTTTGGAGAAGGTGGATTAGATACAGAAAAAGTCTGATAGTTTTTAAAAAATGCTTTCTTCATAGTCAGCATTCTCATTGTTGGTCCTGAAGGGAGTGCCACTGGGAAGTGAGAATCCTGATTGGCTGTTACTTAGGTGTTATTGGTAAATGTGTGGAAAATCTGACTGAGAAAATTAGAAAAATTAGCTGAATTTTGTTTTGTCATTTAGTTTTGCTTCTAAATTGAGCTAGGTTGATCCTAAGATCTTTGGTTTAAAATTTTAATGGTGCTCTTTTAAAAAGACGCCCCACTGAAATGCAGTGACCTTGAATCAAACCCTTTCAGTGACATTTCTGTAGCTAAATTGTAAAGAGGAGTCAAGAGTTCTGTCTCTTAGCACTTACCCTTTGAATATAATGGGCATCTATTTCCATTTCAAAATAGGCTTCACAGGAGGCTATTTTCCTCTTTCAAGTGCTATCTGAGCTAGACGTAGGAATATGCTGAGACATTATGCTGACAAACTGACAATGACACTTTTTTGCAATGAAAAGGAGCCATGTTTCGTTGAGTAAGACATAATGCACAACTCCGACAAACCAGTTTTGATTTAGTAACAATTATGACTTCTTCCTGAACTGAACTTCTATAATAAACCTTCTCAGCTGAAAGGAGTTTATGTTTCTTGTGACATGCACTCTACCTTTTAAAGTCAAAGATGTCTCTCTGTTTTCAGGGACCACGATCCCTCTGATGGAATCTTTGAGGTCATGAAACCAGAAGAATTGGGAAACTTCTGCATCAATGGGCATGTAGATGACATAGTTTGCGTGACTGCTGATGGAACAAATCGAGAATGGTATTCCCTTGACCTGATCACTACATGTGATGTTGCCTATGGTTTCATATGTGATGCAGACAGTAACATGGGCAAAGTCTGTGTGGAAATGCAAGTCAAGTATCATTGTGCCTGTAACGGTAAATATCTTTGTCACTATTTTAAATGAAATATCAGAGAGATACCTGTCCAGAAGAATAAAGTTAAAAGATACTGAATAGAATTGAAATTAAATTACAATATTGATTAATCATGTTAAAGGCTTAAGAAGTTCTTGTCTGTTTGTTCTTTTCTTTTGTTTCTTCCTTTTTCTATTTTCTGTTTTGTTAAATACGAACAGCGTTTTCAATTCTTGTGTTGGAGATCTTGAAGAGTGCAAGGAAGATTTCTCTTTTAATACCTTGATTGTCGTCTGTTGTCTTTGGATGCCTGCCATGCTCATTTTTGTACCATTACGTTTTCTTTACAGAAAAAAGCAAAAAGTGACATATATTCTTCTTTGTAAAAATGAAACCGACTTCTTTAGAGAATGTCTTGTTTTACTCCTTATTTATCGCATGGGATGTGTCAAGACTAAGAATTTTTTTTTCACAAAATTTATGACAGCTGTGCCCAGTGTGTCAACCACTCCTGTGACTGTTGAACCTGTCAGACCTTGTGTGAAAAGCGAATGGCTACAGTGGGTGAATAGAGACACTCCGGACTCTGGAGATGGGGATCGTGAACTGATGAGTCTTGATGAACTGAACAAAGCTTGCGTTGGTGGGCAGGTGAGTTTCCCTATCCCAGTGGTTACTAAAACTGACATAATCTGATTCAAACAAATAAACTGAGTGGATATCCATCTTTTATGATAACCTAATTTTAAAGCTGACATATAAAAATTGTTCTTTTATCTTTCATATAGAAATGATTCTGTCTTGTACAGAGTTATGGTGAACTGAAGACTAGATTATATAGGAACAGGTTTGACTATTCTTTATTCCAGGGTGCCACTCTGTCTTTTCTCTTTACCACTTATTTTACATAGCTCGCTGTGACAAATTTCTTCCTGTTTGCATGTTTTTTTGTTTAAATGGTTAACTGGACCAACTACATCCACTTTTTAAAAGGAAAATTATACATTTTTCAGTTAACTTTTATTTGATCATTTAAAGACTGAATTGCTTGTTTCAGGTGGTAAGTATTTGAAATAAGACTAGCTGAGACTTGAAATGACATTTTTATCACTCTGTTTAACTCTTAGAAATCAGTTATGAAATCTAGCTTTGTGTCAACATCAGAAAAATGTTTTTCATGTAGCAGTTAAACAAAGTAATTCAGCCTAAAAAAGTATACGTTTCCCCAGAAAGTTTTTCTATTTAAAGGAAATAATTATATTTTTGGCAATTAATAAGGAACCTCTAAATGTAAAATGGGATTACTTTGAACATAGTTTTCTTCTTCTTTCATAAGAAATGACCAGTTCCTTTGTCTTTAGAGAATGTCTCCATGTTTCATGCAAATATGCTTATAATCCTCTCCCAAAAAAAATTTAGTGTGAGAACTTGGTTGTGATATTCATATATATTTTTAAAAAAAACAAGACTTTGTTTTGAATTGTTGCATAAGAACAATATAATCAAAGATAACATGGTCTAACTGATGTTTTCATATTTATTATTATTTTTTTTTAGATAACTGATATCCAGTGCTACACTACAAGTGGGACCCCCTATGACGTTACAGGAGAAGCAGTCACATGCACTCTCCAGGCTGGCCTGATATGTCGCAATTCCAATTTTAGAAATTGTCTAGATTACAGAGTGCGATATCGCTGTGAATGTAACAGTAAGTTATTTTCATATATTTTCTCTTGATTTTATGCTTTTTAGGGCATATGGAGGAAATAAAAAAAAACAAAAAACTTACTACATGATCATTTCAAGAACTATTCACATGTAACACTACCACTAAGCCTGACCTTTTCTTCCTCCGCAATCTAAGTTTGTCGTACATAAATGCCCAATGATTTGCACTAGTGTTATGGGGTAACGCTGCTGTACGAATTAATGGAGAATACAGTGAATATAAGCAGGGTAGGTGAGGAGTGAGGCAGGGATGTGTTATGTCACCAAACCTCTTTAACATGTACAGTGAAACAATCCTTAGAAACATAGAAGAATGTCCAGGTCTCAAAATAAATGGAGAAAAGGTTAATAACATCAGGTATGCAGATGACACAGTTTTGATAGCAGGCTCAGAAAAGGACCTTCAATTGCTTCTAGATACTGTTGTAACAGAAAGCGAACGTAAAGGATTATTGTTGAATGTAAAGAAAACAGAATGCATGGTAATATCCAAAAAAGCTGCAAAGCCTAGTTGTAATCTCATTAGCAAAGGTGAAAAGATCAAACAAGTCCAACAGTTTAAATTTCTAGGATATATGATAACATCTGATGCAAAATATTCCTCAGAAATAAGACGCAGAATTACAAAGGCTAAGGCTAGTTTCAATAAAATGAGCCCAATCCTGAAAAATAGAAACATTTCAATGAACACCTAAATGAAAGTTCTGAAATGCTATGTTTGGTCAACCCTTCAATATGGCTGTGAATGCTGGACAATCACTAAAGACAGTGAAAATAAAATAGAAGCAACAGAAAGGTGGTTTCTTAGGAGACTGCTAAGAGTATCGTGGAAGGAAAAGAAATCAAATGGGGTAGTGCTTGATGAAGCCCACGTGGGACGCTCAATGTTAAAAACAATCAGGAAACGACAAATGCAGTTTTTGGGACACATAAATTGACATAAGGGTCTTGAACATCTAGCTCTCAATGGCAAAATTGAGGGCAAGGGAGGCAGGGGAAGGCTCAGAACGACATACTTAGGGAACCTAAACAAATGGGTAACAGGAAAAGATCAGGGAAACATAGCTTTTTTGAGAGCATCCGAGCGAAGGAATGAATGGAGAACCATGATCGCCGATGTCTGTCGCAGATCTGGCACTGGATGATGATGATGAATGAGATGAAAAGAAATGAAGATATAGCAAACAAAGATGATGCAACAAAATGCTGAAATGGGTTTCTTCCCAACAGTGTTAATTAATAGCTGCAAAACAGGTGTAGAGGGAATTGTATGAACTTTGAATTTATAATTGTTGCACTATTGCAACTCTTAGTCAATTGTTTGCAATGATCTACTGTTTTAAAAAATTTTTTTTTAGATGTTCCAAGTCCATCCCCAAGCATGGGATCCTTTGGATCTCCAACACCCTCGCCTGGTGCTGGACAGTTTGGATCCCCAACTCCCTCACCTAGTGCTGGACA